TGGCCACACCTTGGGTGACCCTCAGGAGGACCTGGTCATGTACTGAACTGGGGAGTGAATTCCAGGGTTCTGGAATATGGTGGATAGGGAAATATGGCCTGTGATGGTGGCACTTCCCTTATCCCCAGAGAATACCCTCCTCACAGGCAGTAACATGGTGAGAGAACAGCCAGAGCAGTACTCTATGCAAACATCTCTTACCTAATTTGAAGGGAAATATTGACCAATAGAGCTATTTAAGTACATAGCTAATACTCTAATTTTTTTTTAAATTCCAATATCTGTTAGTGAAATTGGGTAATGAGTACATAGAGACTCTGTATTATTCTCCCTTTTTGTTATATGTTAGCAATTTTCCATAACAGAAAGTAAGAAAATAATATTAATACAAGTTAATGCCATCTTCATAGCTCCAAGAAATAGTATGTTCTGTGTGAGGAGGTTTGATTTGCTTGGTCACTATTGTGCTTGTTTTAATTCTACTGATACCTTCAGTGATATGCTCTCATTAAAGATGGGTTAGAGTAATCAGTGTGATCTCTATTAGATAGCCTTTGCTTTTCTGAGCTCATCTTTGGATTTGGCATTACTAAGCAATCCCAATGATTTTCCCTTTAGTTTTTTGCTTTTGTTGTATTTAAAATCATCTTTTATTATTGACATTTAAGTCCATTATAAGATGATGAAATTCTTTTTTTTTTTAAGATTTTATTTATTTATTTGACAGACAGAGCTCACAAGTAAGCAGAGAGGTAGGCAGAGAGAGAGAGGAGGAAACAGGCTCCCCACCGAGCAGAGAGCCTGATGCAGGGTTCCATCCCAGGACCCTGGAATCATGACCAGAGCTGAAGGCAAAGGCTTTAACCCACTGAGCCACTCAGGTGCCCCTAAAATTCTTTTTGATCTGCCTAATTTCTGGTTTAAACTGTTCTCAACACTTTGTCAATTTTCTTGTGTTGAATTACATTACTTTTCTATTTTATTTTATTTATTTTATTTTTTATTTAAATAATCTCTACACCCAACATGGGGCTCAGATTCACGACCCTGAGATCAAGAGTCACACATTCTTCTGACTGAGCCAGCCAGGTGCCCCTTACTTTTCAATTTTAAAAGTTAGTTTCTCTCAGGGGTCCTGGCAGGCTCAGTCAGTATTGCATGCGACTCTTGATTTTGGGGTCATGAGTTCAAGCTCCACATTGGGTGAAGTTAGCTTTTCATTTCAATACTATTTCTCTTTTCATAAACTGAACCCATAGATCCATGACTTAGGATTTAATTTCAAGATTATACTATTTTAGGCAGTCTTTGTGTTCTTTTATTTTTTTGTTTTTATTTTTAAGATACTCCTTTTTCTAATTTAAATCTATTCTTTCCTGTGTGTGTGTGTGTGCGCACATGCATGAATTTTGGATAGTACAGATGCTTCAACTTCTAAATATTTGTAAATGTTCTTGCCTAAGAAAGGGCCCTCATCTCTTCCACTCCAAGGTGACTTATAATAATTCATTTTTTTAGTCTTAGCTAGGGCGTCAGTAGCTTCTGCATTTCAGCTATTTAACTCTCCTGTATGTTTCTTCTGCAACTCAAGAGTACCCCCCCACACGCCCCTCTCCAGGCATCTCTGTGGTCCCTTTACTTTATATATCAAATTTGTTTTTCATATCTCTGCCTTTCAAAGTAGAAGTTTCTTTATAAAAGAGGCTATACCTTTTTTTTTAATTGAGATAGGACTTTTTTTTCTAGTATAGTTGATACACAATATTATATTAGTCTTAGGCTTACAATGTAGTGATTTGACAAACTTATACGTCAGAAGTGGTACATCTCCCCCCCCCTTTTTGTACCCTGTACCCTGAGCAATACCTATAATATGTATTTAATAAAAATTATAGTTGAACTAAGAAATATAAATATTTGCATCATGAAAGTGAAATGTCTGTTTCTGTATACTGAAATCAATAATTTAAATAAAAACTTTAATTATATCAAATCAATGTGAAATTAAAAATATATGATGCATGATTTCTGTTCTTGTGATATATATATTTATATAGCTAATACATATTCATTTTTATATAAATAACAATTATTAGCAAGTTCACCATCTAATAATAGCTATTTTTGTGGTGTATTCTCTATTTGATTATAGTATTTGTTTTATCTCATGTTAAATTTATCAATTCAGGGGCACCTGGGTGGCTCAGTGGGTTAAAGCCTCTGCCTTCGGCTCAGGTCATGATCCCAGGGTCCTGGGATGGAGCCCCGCATCAGGCTCTCTGCTCAGCGGGGAGCCTGCTTCCTCCTCTCTCTCTGCCTGCTTCTCTGCCTACTTGTGATCTCCGTCTGTCAAATAAATAAATAAAATCTTTGAAAAGAAATTTATCAATTCATAAAGAGGGGTACCTAGGTGCCTGGGTGGCTCAGTCAGTTAAGCGTCTGCCTTCAGCTCAGGTCTGATCCCAGGGGATGGAGCCGCTGCTCAGCAGGGAGTCTGCTTCTTCCTCTCCCTCTGCCCGCCGCTCCCTCTGCTTGTGCTCACTCTCTTTCTCTCTCTCAAATAAACAGAATCTTTTTAAAAAAATTATCAATTCATAAATAGCCATCAGTCTTACAGAAGTGCGAAAGACCCATGGAGAATTATCTTCCAACAGCTGTAGAGACTTTATTTAATCTTCTGATTGTATGTTACAGAAATTTATCATAAACTTTCATATGTTTTCTTCCTACTATTACACTAAACAAAATATTTAATCCTTAAATATATATATCTAAGTCTATTAGAAACTTATATTTTACTCTCCACATTTGAATATAGCATAGAAGTACATAAGTAACAGATAATTCAAGTATGACATATTTGTTGCTATGAGAATGTCTGCAAACGGAAGTAGTAATGAATCCCATCAGAAATGCCTTTTTAAAAAAAAAAACTTCTAAAAGTATTCTTGATGTAGGGTTTGTTTGTTTTGCCTTGATTAGGCTGTTGGTTATTGAAGATGTTTGAATTTTTTTGTTTATCATAAATTGAATTATCTAAGTCTTATAACTCAGACCAATGAACCAGAGTGTAGCAATCCTTTCCACTCCTATCTTCAGGTTGGGAGCCCTTGAAAATAGAACTGTGAGCAAAGCATAATGGAAGCATTTGCTGTCTTTCCTCCTTGCTTTTTGCATTAGTGCATAGTCTCTTAATTCATGTGCAAATGTTCGTATATCTAGAGATTTATAACAAAACTTGCTTTTCCAATACTTATTACTCCAACCTATTTCAAAAACAGATAAATTTTTCTAAACAACCCTTCAATGATAGCAAACTTTATTGCTTCCTTTGCTTATTACTACTTCTCCCTGCTCTTACTCCTCAGCCCAATATAAGTCTAAATAAACACAACTTGTTACTTTTCATTTTAAACTGAGTTTGCAAAATGTGGCCACATTTTCACTTATCCTTTTCCAACAGTTAAGATCGGCCTCACTTGCATGACATCTTTCTGAATTACCTAATCTCCATTTCATTTTGGTCTGAATAGCAGCACTAGAAGTTTTGTGATAGGGAAGTTAGAAGGTATGAGACATTAATAGTCCATAACAGTTTTTTTTCTGTATTTCAATAAACCCTGTAAATATGTTTGCCTAAATTATGTATATAGTTGTTAAACAGCTCTGATTACTTGCAAATCTCAGGCAGAATTAAGGGCAAGAGAGAGGGATGGGCAGGGGAAGGAAGCAGGAGGGAAGGTAGAGGAGGGGAAGGTAGGAAAATGTTCTTCTTAGTGAGGATTTTGGTGACCACCATTCATTTTTGGAAAAAAGATGAATTAAATCAGCTTTTATCATTAACATATTATGCAACTATTTTATTGAGCATTCAAACTTAAAACAAAAGAAATTAGCATTTTTTAAAAAGTTATATTCGTGGTCTTTATGTATTGATGTGTAGAATTTCCTGTAATGATTGTTTTTTTAACATTTATTTAAATCAGTTAATTAACATATATTATTGGTTTCAGAGGTACAAGCCTGTGATTCATCAGTGTTACATATTACCCTGCACTCATTACATCACATGCCCTCCTTAATATCCAGCACCCAGTTACCCACCCCCTGACCGCCTTCCCTCCAGCAACCCTCAGAAAGCAAGTTAAGGTAAAAGCAGAATCTAGTAGAATCACATGAACTTCCTTGAAAATTTGTCAAGATTTCTAAATTAAATTATTTTTCTTAAAAATGGTGATAATAGTAGTAAAAATCCCAAGATGAGGTACAATCATATAAGTACAGTATTTTGAGATATGCCAGGCACTCAGTAATCATACTGCATGATAACTAAGTTGAAGATCCTCGTTTAAGTGACATCTAGGAATGAAATAAAAGTCTCCAACCAGAAGCTCAGTGAAATTAGTAGACCAGAATAAATGCATTTTCATTTGAGATATGAAATCCCTAACTTCCTTCAGGTTTTACTTCCCTTACCTAGTTATGACAGAATTTGATTAGTGTCAGATCTCATATAGATTCCTAAATGTGGAGATTTCAAGAGAGGATTAAGAAGGAAAAAAATGAAATTAAAAAGAAACTAAATGGAATCTACTGAGTAGTATTGTGTTCTGGATTTTAAAGGGAAATGTTCTGAGACTAGATCAATGAAATCCTATCAGTTCATTTTACAGAGACAAAAAAAAAAAAAAAGCCAACAAGAAACGCAGTATAAGGATTTCGTCTTGGATTTAAGCAATCCTGGCTCTCTAATGTTCAACTGTGGTTGGATCTCAGTAGTTTCTGTACTAACAGATGCCAAAGGTGGAGTCCTTATGACTAGAAAATTAAAGTTATGAATATTTAAGCTGATATGCAAAGTACCAACAGAGCAAAGTATACACTCAGATAATCATGAATTGTCCAGTAATCAAATTTTAATAAGCAGGGACATTATTGTAGAAGCACCAACTACATGTTGTTTCTTTCTTTCTTTTTTTTTTCTTTTTCCCATTCTGCAGGAAAAAGTCCAGCATTTACAGAAGGCTTTTGCTTCAAGAGTAGATAAATCCACACAGACTGAACTTCTAGGCTATGATGTAAGTAGCTATATAAAACCATTTTTATCTTCTTTATTGGTATTCAGACCTCCACAGCTTATTTACCTCTGTTGCTGCTGTGTCCATGCATTGATTTAATAGGATTTAGTGGCTCGCCATTCATCTTTTGCTCTTAAATAATCCCCAAATACCTTCTGGAACTGAAAAAGATAATTACAGGCACCGACTAGCATACCAATGTCTTATTACTTTTTTTTTTAAGCTAACATTCCTCATATAGTCTTTTGCATTAGTGAATTTGCAGACATGTGGAAGATACATATTAGAATACTAGAACAATTTATTTTTAAGAAAGTACTAATTTATTTATTAACAGTTTAATCAAGTTATGTTCACAATCACCAAGGGCCAGGCACATCATTTTTATATTCTGATACATAAAAGGAAACGCAACTGTGCAGAGAAATTTACAATACTATTTTAGCTTTTGGGCCTCAGTACAAGCTGCAGAAAGTAATTGAAAGTTAGCATTTTTTTTTTCTTAGTGTGAAATACTTGTTGAATTGTCAAAATAGGATTGTAAAACATGTGTTGATACAAGATTGCTCCTAGTAACACTGGATGATTTTGGATAACTGATTTAAATTCCTATCTTTTTAAAATGAAGCTATGAGATTTTCACTTTGCCTTAGTTGATGACTTTAAGCTTCCTTTTGATGAAAATACAAAGGAATTACCTTCTTCATCCTACATCTAACGTTTGTCAGAACTCCCTCTTCTATTTAAAGACATTAATATTATTTTTAACACTTTATTAACAAGTAAGATTAGAAGAGATTGTTTTTAAGTTGTTTTATGAAGGTGTATAATAATAAAATGTAAGTTTATCTGCAGGTCCTCATTAAATTAAATAACATAGATATAAATGTTACTTTTGTGTTTCCTTGCAAATTATGTTGCTGTATTTGACATAAAACTACTTGTCTCTATTAGGAAGTAAACTAAAGTTTCGAATTCTAGCACAAATTGTTTTCAGCTATTTATATATTTTTTTAATTTAAAAAACAACATTAAAAGCTTGCTTTTCTTTTGAATTTTTCTGCTACATTCATTTTATGTTTATTATAGACACCTAAATATTCTAGACATGAATATTGTGACTACAGTAGTTCTTGCTTGAATTCCAGTGTTACATATATGATTTAAATGGTATTAATGTTTCATATTTTAAAATAGAAATGATTTCTAAGTTCAAAGGGGATTTACCACAAGTATTTTAATATTTATCTCTTTTGAAGGAGGTTTTTTCCCTATTTAAAGTTTTTTGTTACATATTATTTGTATATCAGTACCTAGGTTATAGACTCAGTCTGTATTTTACAAATAACAACCTATATCTTTTTAAATCTGCAAGCCAGTTGTCCAATAAGACTAATAAATTAATAGTTTCCATTAAATCATATTCCAGCATAACAAAATTATAAGTTAACTGAATTCCAGAAAAGTGAAGTCACTTGTTCACTACTATTATTATTAAAAGTAACATATTCTTCAACAAGGAAAGAGGAAAATACATATGTATTGGGACTCAAATATTCCACTTTACTCAATAAGTAAATGATGGTTGGGAGACCCAGTTCCAAATTTCTAAAGGACTGAATATAAAGATAGAATGTGAGATCAGTAGCATTATTAGTGACTGCAAGTGAGAAATAGTTGCTAAGAGATGAGTGGTACCTGTGGGAAATAACTAAACTGTGTCTTGTGTATTTGCCTCTCGATGCCCCATTATGTTCTTGTTTCTGTGAGGTTTCTTTTATTAATATTACATAGTTCTCTAAACATTTAAATAAAAATTTATAAAATAGATCCATGAACATAAATAATCCTTATTAAATCTTCATTGTTCCTAGCTTCTTTTCATATCTGACAGTGAGAATTTAATGTATTTTAATGGGGTGCATTAAGGCTAAGAATAATTTCTTGATAGTGAGTCCTTTCTTATTTATTTATTTATTTATTTATTTAGTTGATGTGAATCCTTTCAGGATCCCTTTGCATAGGTGTTTGGTGGGACTTAGATAGTCATTAACATACAGTAATAATCTGTTCTAAAGGTTTCATATTTTACATTTCCTGATGATAGATTCTAAGATATAATCATCAGAATCAGAATGGAATTGCCAAAGATATGCGTATAGAACCTCATAGCACTAACTGGATGTAACTGTTACCATAGACTTTGGGGCATTTTGTATGGAAAACATTGGGGAAGGAAATATTTAAAGAAAAACAAATTATAAATAGGTGAAGCATTTTAAATGTGATAGATTGTGTGACTGTTGGGAATATATGACTCATCAACAATGTATTTTTATTTTCTATGACTGGGATATAGTTTCTATACTTTTCGGTATCTGTAAATTTTTCACTTTCTCATATGCACTAAGAATAATTGATTATCCTTTGACTTAAAATATTTGCTCACATTTTTCACAGGAAATAGTCTGACATTATTTTGTTTTTTCATATATATTCACATATGTACAGTAGCTAACTTAACAATTTGCAATAGTATTTGTCAGAGAAAATATGAAAAATGTTGTAGAAATCTTGTACATGATGAAGGATACTTATACTCTCTTGCTTGCTCTCTAAAGCTGTCAATATTAGCCACAAATTGTTCCTTAGAGATCAATATGGATCATGTTTCAATGATACAAATGTCAGAATAGAAGAGACTACCAGTATCTGTTAATATAATTTTCTTGGGAAGATAGTTGTAACTATACATTTTGCTTAAAATAGGAAATATTTTTAAATTTCCTTAAAATAGGGAATATTGAAAGACATGAATTATAATGAAAAATATTAAAAGAAATTTCTGAAAATCCACTACAGTGAATAAATTCAAAGATCCACATAAGAAACTACTTCTTTCTTGTAATAGACATATCAGGAGACTTGAAACTAATGTTCGTGTATAGCATGCTTTGATTTCTAATGCATAGGACAAAAATAATTTAAAAATAAATTCAGAGTGTCTCAGCAAAGTCCTGTAAATACAATGGTTCCTGTGATGATGAGGGACATTGTTAAATAAGTGATGAATCTATCTTCTGTAATCAATGGCAATTCAACTGCTTTCACCTTCCTCTATCTACACTGGCTTAGTTTATTGAAAGATCAAAAATAATTTCTTAGGTGTCACTTGTGTTATTAAAACAGGATAAAAGATGAATAGATATAGTCAAGTAACAATGTTGCCAATTGCAAGATTACACTAAGAGGTAAGTATTTTCTGATTACATTAATTATATAAATAAATACTTCAGGACAGAACATAAGCTATCTGTGATTATTTTTTGAATGTAGTAGTTCAAAATATTTGCAGGAGCTTGAACTCCCATTTTTGGTTTAAATAGTTGGGAATGAAAAAACAAAATATAGTGAAGATTTATATTCTAACAGGGTAAAAATTCAGGTACTTTTTTAAAACTGGGCATCTGTGTGGAGAGGTTTGTTTAGTCTTGTTTTGTTTAACTTCTTTTTGATGTTCTACAGAAAGTTATCTTTTTAAATGTAGTTGATTTACGTTAAGTGCCAATTTTCAGTTAGTGCCTGAACTTGACTCAGACCAATCAGAGTCTCTAGACGAGTCTTCCTCTAATCAGCATATATTTTATACTTATGTTTAATAAGTGTTTATTAGTATTGAACTTGCAGTTTTTGTTCATATTTCTTTAAGAGTTTTGATTTTATTATTTTATCAAATATTATTAAGCACATTAGTCTTAATATCATTAATGGTTTTACTTGGCTACTTAAAACTGGGTTGTGGCATCACACATACATTTTGTCGGAGTCATGTGTGAGTGAAGCGTAACTCACTTTAGAAAAGTATGATCATACCACTATATACTTTTCACAGATTTTAACATAGTTTCCAAATGATGGAATTTGCTTTATAAATGAAGTTTTCTACTTATATGCTAGGAAAATAATACTAGTTGCATTATGGATACATATTTTGAAGGAAAAACTTAATGCAGTTATCTCAATATTCTCAGTCTGTACTACTTAGATTTCATTTTGGAGGCTCTCCTAATACAGTTAATAGTGTACAGGAATTCTAACAAATACGAGAATAGTTCATCATGGAAGGAGTAAGAATGATTAGTTTGGGTTTGGTTTGGTTTTAAAGATTTTATTTATTTGAGAGAGAGAGAGCACAAGTGGAGAGGTGAGGGAGAAGCAGGCTCACCAATGAGCAAGGAGCCCGACCTGGTGCTCGATCCCAGGACTGTGGATTTATGACCTGAACCAAAGGCAGATGCTTAACTGACTGAGCCACCCAAGTTCCTCAAGAATGATTAGTTTTTACCATAATTGTTTTATTAGCTATTAGATAGAGCAAGAGAGCATATTGTGCTATGCAACTATATTATGTCAACCTGTGGATTAAGGCTAATTGTAAGAATTGAATAATTATCTATTAGGCTTTCTAGTTCAGTAACTAATAATCCGTAGTTTGTTAAAGCTGTTTATTTTTGATCCAGTCGTTGCTGTTATTTTTCATAAGCTCAGTACTTCTGATCATGTCAGTGTGCCCCAGCATTTAGCAGATGAGTGCCTTCTCCCCATATACTTCATTTGTTTTTATTCACTTATACCAAGTATTTCTGTTTGTTTTTATAAGTTTTAAAAAATCAAGTTTAAAAACTGATATATTCCAAGTTTTCTTGTGAATCACAGTTTTTCATATTACATTAAGGATAAGTTTCAGAAAAAAAACACTGATTAAAAACACAAGATATATGATCAGCTGCCACAAGTGCTTATTAATACTTAGTGGAAGAATCACAGCTTATCCTGTGGGGAGGTTTTAAGGGCATCACTTTTGAAAATCCATACATGCAATTATTCAACAAATACTAAGTGCCCCATGGAAGCCAGGCTCTGTCCTAGGTACTTAGGATACATCCTTTAATCAAACCACAGCTATTTCCTCATGGAGCCTACATTTTTTGAAAGCATAC